GAGATTCTCTCCCATGCCTGGCTCGGTGGGTCCCATGGCCCACGGAGCCTTGCTCACTGCTAACACAGCAGCCTGAGATGGAACTGCGAGGCAGCAGCCTGACTGGGGAAGGGGCATCTGCCATTGCTGAGGCTTGAGTAGGTAAACAAAGCAACCAGTAAGCTTGAACTGGGCAAAGCCCACCGCAGCTCAGCAAGGCCTACTGCCTCTAGACTCCACCTCTATGGGCAGGGCTTAGCTGAACGAAAGGCAGCAGACAACTTCTGCAGAGTTAAACATCCCTGTCTGACAGCTCTGAAGAGAGCAGTGGTTCTCCTAACACAGCGTTTGAGCTCTGAGGATGGACAGACTGCCTCCTCAAGTGGGTCCCTAACCCTGTGTAGCCTAACTAGGAGACACCTCCCAACAGGACTGACAGACACCTTATATAGGCAGGTGCCCCTCTGGGATGAAGCTTCCAGAGGAAGGATCAGGCAGCAATGTTTGTGTTCTGCAGCCTCCACTGGTGATATCCAGGCAAACAAGGTCTGGAGTGGACCTCCAGCAAACTCCACCAGACCTGCAGCTGAGGGACCTGACTGTTAGAAGGAAAACTAAGAAAGGAATAGCATCAGCATCAACAAAAAGGACATCTACACCAAAACCCCATCTGTAGCTCACCAACATCAAAGACCAAAGGTAGATAAAACCACAAAGATGGGGAGAAAACAGAGCAGAAAAGCTGAAAATTCTAAAAATCAGAGTACTTCTTCTCCTCCAAAGGATCACAGCTCCTTGCCAGCAACAGAACAAAGCTGGATGGAGGATGACTTTGATGAGTTGACAGAAGTAGACTTCAGAAGGTCAGTAATAACAAACTTCTCTGAGCTAAAGGAACATGTTTGAACCCATCGCAAGGTACCTGAATACCTTAAAAAAGGTTAGACGAGTGGCTAACTCGAATAAACGGTGGAGAGAAGACATTAAATGACCTCCTGGAGCTGAAAACTATGGCATGAGAATTTCGTGACACATTCTCAAGCTTCAATAGCTGATTTGATCAAGTGGAAGAAAGGGTGTCAGTGATTGAAAATCAAATTAATGAAATAAAGCAAGAAAAGAAGTTTAGAGAAAAAAGAGTAAAAAGAAGCAAAGCCTCCACAAAATATGGGACTATGTGAAAAGATGAAATCTATGTTTGATTGGTGTACCTGAAAGTGATGGGGAGAGTGGAACCAAGTTGGAAAACACTCTTCAGGATATTATCCAGGGGAACTTCCCCAACCTAGCAAGGCAGGCCAACATTCAAATTCAGGAAATACAGAGAACACCACAAAGATACTCCTTGAGAAGAGCATCCCCAAGACACGTAAGTGTCAAATTCACCAAGGTTGAAATGAAGGAAAATATGTTAATGGCAGTCAGAGAGAAAGGTCGAGTTGCCCACAAAGGGAAGCCCATCAGAATAACAGCAGATCTCTTGGCAGAAAGCCTGCAAGCCAGAAGAGAATGGGGCCCAATTTTCAACATTCTGAAAGAAAAGAATTTTCAATCCAGAATTTCATATCCAGCCAAACTAAGCTTCATAAGTGAAGGAGAAATAAAACCCTTTACAAACAAGCAAATGCTGAGAGATTTTGTCACCACCAGGCCTGCCTTACAAGAGCTCCTAAAGGAAGCACTAAACATGGAAAGACACAACCAGTACCAACCACTGCAAAAATATGCCAAATTGTAAAGACCATCGGTGCTATGAAGCAACTGCATCAATTAATGGGCAAAATAACCAGCTAACATCATAATGACAGGATCAAATTCAGACATAACAATATTAACCTTAAATGTAAATGGGCTAAATGCCCCAATTAAAAGACATAGACTGGCAAATTGGATAAAGAGTCAAGACCCATCAGT